TATCAATGTATTTTTCTCTTTTTTTTCTTGGAATTCTTTGAGCTTCTTGAATTCTAACATCTGAGTAGTGGGAGTTCCAGAAAAAGTAAATAAAAGGAAGGCAATTACTAATGAAATAATTCAAGAAATGGTCCCAAAACTGAAAGACATAATTTGGCGGATGGAGAGGGCCCACCCAGTACCCACCACAATTGATGGAGAAATATCCACATAGGGAACATCATAGTAAATTGTTGGCTCATTTGGGACAAGATCCTAAAGGGCTTTCAAAAGGGGGTGAGAAAAAACAGTTTATATGGAGAGGCATCCACTTTCCCAAACTCTAGCATACATGGAGACTAAGAGACACAGAGCAAAGCCTGAAAACATGGGAAAGAAGAAGGAATGCAGGTTAGAATCCTGAATGCAAGCACTCTCCCTTAACAGTGGGGGTGGAATGCAGACATTTCCATCAATGCCAGGTGGCCACCTTGTCCAGGAAAGCACTGGAAGATGTGCTCCACCAAAAAGAGGAAATAAAACAAGGAAGAGGAAACATGGACTCCACCACAATCAAGATGAAGGGCACCCCCACAGTGATAGGGAAGAAAGATCCCAGGACAGCAGTGGGCTTGGGATTCATAGATTGCAATAGGAGAACAGAGGCTTCAAGGGTAATGCTTTAAGGGCAGGAAGGAAACCAAGAGGTTACCAGAGGTCTACGAATGTATCAACATTCAATTCACATAAGCAAGTTTTTGGAAAAACAGATGCAAATACCGTAAGATCCAGCTGGAAGAATTGAAAGTGCTTGCCTCTGGGGAGGGAGAATCTTGGCAGGGGGAGAGAGGGCGTAAGATGGGTTAGGGGTTTGCTCTTTTTCTTTGTAAGCCATCTAGAACTATTTGACCTATATTTGTAGAATTTTGATAAAGAATAATTTTTTACGGGGCACCTGGGTGGCTCAGTCGTTAAGTGTCTGCCTTCGGCTCAGGTCATGGTCCCAGGGTCTTGGGATCGAGCCCCACATCGGGCTCCCTGCTCAGCAGGAAGCCTGCTTCTCCCTCTCCCATTCCCCCTGCTTGTGTTCCTGCTCTCGCTGTCTCTCTCTCTGTCAAATAAATGAATAAAATCTTAAAAAAAAAAAAGAATAATTTTTTACATGAAAAAAAGTAGTGGCAAGCATTAAATATGCAGTTATGTATAAGAGACTAAATGAGGGCTAAAGCAGGGAAAAACATGTAGGTTATGTGCTCGGCAATGTAAATATAGCACAACTATTTTAAATGAGGAAAGAATAGAGAGTGTATATGCAAAAAATAAGAGGAATTGTTAACTGTTTTCAATAATGACATGGGTATGGTATTATTAGTATGCTATTCTGAGATGGCTGTGCATATGTTATAGAAGAAACAAATGAATAATTGCAGAATATCCCAATTCTATCATCTCCTATGCCCCCTGAGAACCCCTGAGGATTTTTAGTATGGAATCAAGATATAAGTATAAATATAACATAGAAGAGGTTCCATTAAACCTCTGCAGTCTGAGGGGCGCTGGGTGGCTCAGTGGGTTAAGCGTCTGCCTTTGGCTCAGGTCATGATCCCACGGTCCTGGGATCGAGTCCCACATTGGAGCCTGCTTCTCCCTCTGCCTCTCTCTCTCTCTCTCTCATGAATAAATAAAATCTTAAAAAAAAATTCTGCAGTCTGAATTTTAATTGGACATACTCACTAGATCTGCCCACCAAAAAGCCTAGTTTTGCCCACTGAACAATGACCAAACGTAGCAATGACAACAAAGCTTCCTGGGGCCCAGACTGCGTTCTTGTGATACCATTTACCACTAAAAGAAGGACTTTTTGAAAAAAATACTGACTCCAGGACTGAGCAGAAAAGGTAGATGAGTTTGGAATACCTTGACATAGCTTCAAGGAAGCTATCAAAGACTACTCATTACATGTCAAAAGGATTCAGGGGAAAAAAAGAGGATCCAGGAGCCAACCTAAGAGGCTCCTACTAGTTAAAGACCAGACAAATGTGAGTTCAAATTTGAAGTGAATTTAAAACCATCATATATTTTTAAATCTATGAGTTCATTTTGATATTTTTAAAAATTAATTGATCACTTTTGGTAGATAAGAGGGAACAAATTTATTATCTTGAAAATAAGGGGGGAGAAAAACAAACATTTATTCTGCCATTTCTACAGGACCTCAACCATTGAATAACCAAATAATGGGAGAGGAAGCATTTATTTATAAAAATGTTCCAACTAGTAATTGTAAAAGTAATGATGGAATTAGAATATCACCATTTTACAACTCCCAGTGAATTAATGGATCTAGACATTGAGCACCAATGACTCCTATCAACATCAAAAGAAAACAACCCAGACATAATATGTCTCCTGATAAAAGAACACATGACCTCTAGTCTTGCCAAAGGGATTGAACCTGAGTCTTATAAAGCCCCTGGGTCTAGCTTACAATTTTCAGGAAGTACAAAAGACAGAGGAAGATGCTAAATCCTACCATTAGTATGAAATCAGCAAATCCAGACTGTGGGAAGCTTTACAGGTCAAACAACCCAGATGCTTCCATAAATAAATTTAAAAATGGGTGGAAAGAGACCTATATGTTAAAAGTGAATTGAAAGATATATTGAAATTTTTAAGTGTGTGTAACTAAACTATAGGGTCCAAGGATGTACATGGGTGAAAAAACACTGACAATTCCTTATGAAAATAATTCTTTACATTTACATAATTTATAATTTATAAAAATTTGTAATTTATAATTCCTATAAATAATTATTCTTTATAAAGATAAAAAGAGTAGCAGTTGCTTTTGGAGGGAAGATGGGATTATGGGCTACGGTGGGGCAAATAGAGGGGTTTCTGGGGTGTCTGGAAAATCTGTCTTTCTTGATCTGGGTAGTGGTTACAAAGGTGTTTGCCTTATTATGATTCATTAAGTTATACATGCACTTTGTGTGGTTTTTCTGTATCTGTATATAATAGAAACAAAAGGTTAAAAGAGAATGAAGGAGAATCCTGTTAAGATAGAAGTCTAAACTATGGACTCTGAGAAACAAACTGAGGGTTCTAGAGGGGAGAGGGGTAGGGGGATGGGTTAGTCTGGTGAGGGTATTAAAGAGGGCACATACTGAATGGAGCACTGGGTGTTATATGCAACAATGAATCATGGAACACTACATCAAAAACTAATGATGTAATGTATGGTAATTAACATAACATAAAAAAAAGAAAAAAACTAATGATGTAATGTATGGTGATTAACATAACATAATAAAATAAATTTTTAAAAGATAGAAGTCTAATATAGAAGGTTAAATGGAAAAAAAAGAGTGCAGAATTATATTTACTCTATGGTCCAATTTTTTATGAAAAGTAGGGTAGGGGGCATATATACTCTCTGAACAGTCACCCAAGTTTAATAGTTATTACCTTAACAGGGATAGATATTTTACCATTTCTTTGCAATGTTTGACATATTGTTTAATAGGGGAAAATCTAATAAATGATATATATATAGGAATATATATATGCACACATACACACATGCAAATATAGTTTTACTTTTTACTTTGAAATTATTTCAAGTTTACAAGAGTTCCTTGTAAAATATAAAGAACTTCTGTACATCCTTGACCCAGATTCATATTCATATTCCTTTTGGCTCATTTGTTCACTTTCTCTATTTGATAATTAGTTACAAATATCATGTCCCTTTACCTGTGAAAGCACTTCCAACTATTTCCTAAAAATCAGTGATATATATCCATATTTAATTTTTTAATATGGACATATATAATTATTAGCCTTGAAAACATACAGGGATTTTATGTCAGATTAGATAAAGTATGTGAAAATGCTATTTTAAGCTGCAAAGAATCATTAAAAAAATGGATGTCTTTTCCACTTGATATGCCTTAAAGTAATTCATCACTTCTAGCTGAAGTTTAAAGAAATTTGCCATTATCAGAGTATATCCTCAGAATACACAAAATGAAGAAATAGTCAAAAGTTGCAATCATTTTCAGTATTTGCTCTAAGCTTATTTGTAGTTTAATCTTAAGTTTTTTTTAACTGCTAAATTCTTAATTACTCCTTAATTTAATATTAGGGAAATTAGACATGAGGTTCTAGAGGGTGGCAGATATTTGAAGAATGCTCCCATGTCTCTATCAAATCAGCTACAAAGTGAGAAATTAATGGGAGCACCTGGTTGTTTTTTTTTCTTTTCTTTTTTAGGTGGTGCTCAAACCCAATGTAAGTTATGTACAGAGGAATGTAAGTAAATAAAAATTGATTTCCTCAAAAAAAAAACCACGAAGACTTCATTTGGAAGATTTTAAAACACATAAACAATTTGTGGATTCTATCAGCTTTTTATAAAGAAGAATGAAACCTTCTTTAGAGAGTGTATAGATTGAAAATCTCCATAGTGCTTTTCAAAATTTTGACGTATCTGGGTTTGGTCTATTTTTGTGCAGAATGAGACTATCTTGCCAGAAAATATAGGGCCTGTTTCCATACTTTGCACTAAATTAAGCTGCATTCAACACTGAAATTATTTGACAAGCTGGTCAATTCCAAAAAACACAATAATAAAAATACTAGCTTCTAAAATGTTTATACTAAAAACTGTTGCACTGAAACACCCAAACTCTGACCATGGACTAGAAGCTGTTCCCTAGGTTTGCATTTATAAATAAGGAGAATTAGCACCTGGGCAGACACTGGAAGAAGACTTCCCAGCCCCACCCTTCTTTCCTTGGGAAAATAAAGCTCTTTTTCTTTAGAATTGTTTAGGATTACAAACAAGATGCAGTTCAATTATGGATTGTAACACAGAGGAAATAAGATGCATTGGAGTTTAGTGGAATCAGAGGGGGCTCTCTTGGGGAAGGATGGGGAGTGAAGTTGGGAGATGCTTAAGGGAGAGGGTGCTTCTCCACCAGGTAGAAGGAGTTATGGTACCCCACCTCTGCCCACAGGTGAGCGAGATGGAAGTGAACGGGCAGTTTGAGTCTGTGTGCGAATCGGTGTTCAGCGAGCTGGAGTCGCAGGCGGTGGAGGCGCTGGACCTGCCCATGCCCGGCTGTTTCCGCATGCGGAGCCACAGCTACGTGCGGGCCATTGAGAAGGGCTGCTCCCAGGACGACGAGTGTGTGTCCCTGAGGTCCTCCTCCCCACCGCGCACCACCACCACCGTGAGGACCATTCAGAGCAGCACCGGTGAGTGAGCAGAGCGGCTGTCCCCCCCACCCCGGGCCCCCTGTGCCACCACAAGCCTGGCCTCCGAGCCCGAGGCTACAGAATGTCCCAAAAGACTGCCCCCGGTGTCCTCGCTGTTTATTGCACAGTCGCCAGTAACATAATACCACCCATGCCCTACAAAGAATGGTTGTGCCTCCCTGCCTGCCTCTGTCCCCAGGCTCTGGCCACATGCACAGTCCTCCCTGCCTCCAAGCTCTGGCATCGACAGAGAAACTTCAACTACAGGTCCAGAAGGGACAGCACCGAAGAGGGGCGGGGTCTTTCCAGGATCCCCACACAGCAGCATCCTAGCAGCCAGCAAACTCATCCCACCAGCTCCTACCGGCCATGGTCAGGCTCTTTTAGGGGTGACCCTTAGGCAAATCGGTCACCGTGATTGCTGAGCGCCACACCGTGAGAATGCCTTTTATTTTTTTTTATTCCAAGATATCCACAAAATGACTATCCCAAAACACCTAAAATATCACTGTAAGAAAATAAGGAAGAAACGGATGATCCAGATATATCTATTAATCGAACATCTTATGAGTTTTCTTTCATTATAACAAAGACAGATTTCACTATTTTAAAACCTTTTGTCATATGTATACAGCACCTCCTTTTCCCTCTAAAGTACAGTTAGATTTATGCAGTTAAACTATGTTTTTATCAGATTTTAAGCAGAGAGGCACAGAAGAGCTTCGCTGGTTTCCATGACACTGAAACCTGCATGGGAATATAGCCAGGGATTAGATCTGACTATGTGTGTGTGTTGGGTTTTTTTTTTTATATTTATAACATTTGGTCCAAGAAGAAAATCCCCTCCATCTTAACTAGGCTTAACTGTATGACTGATTTCAGTATAGTTCCAACAGAGAGTAGTTCTACAAAAAGATCATCAAACCTCGAGTCATGGTAAATAATAATGAATCAATTAGAAGGAAAAGCCTGTGCCAGAATATTGCGGTATTCAATGTTAGTTCTAGGTGCATCAAAGGCCAGTAATTATCATTGAGCCTAGAACTTCTGCAGGCTTGAGAAGTAATAGGTCCTCAAACCGGAGTTAAACTCCTACTAATTAGAGATATGGAATTGAGGTAGCAACTTGTAAGAAACCATTAGAGGTTAAACATGAGGAGTTCATTCCTGACCAGTGCAAACTAAGGTATCAGGATCAGGGAAAGGGATGCTTCTAGAGGGCTCCACGGCTCTGCAAGGAGCCCAGCCACTCTGGCCTCGGCTGGCTGGCTCCAGCCAGATAGTGGGTGTGCATTCTGTCTCACCAGGAAATTCTACAAGAACAGCCACAGATGAGGTTAACGAATAAGTTTGACTTATCAAATGAAAAACAAATTTTCAATCATCCATGGGCATATTTCTGTGTGTTTGTGTTCATGCAGTCAGTGTAATTTGAAGATCTGCTCTGTGCCTATAGCATATTGCTGTGTCTTACTGTTCCCCATATTCACCACCCCCACCCCGCCCTTTCCCAGTGTCTAGTCTGCCACTTGCTCTGACAGTCTCGCCGCCTACCAGCTGGTTTCCTGTGCTGAAATCGCTCATTAGATACACAGTATGCGCGTCCTCACCCAGGTGTGCGAGGGGAAGGAAAAGGGCCACCAGCTGACTCCTTCCCCCTCAAGGAGCAGTGCTGTGGATAAAGTGGCAAGAGACTCCTGATTGGCTTTTTTCTGCTCCCCTCTCAGAGGATTTGTGCTTTTGTCAGTGAAGAGACAATTTACTTACACCTCCCACATCCGTTCTCGTGCTGTGCTTTTCACCCCACACACCAGGATGTCTGAGACCTTTCCCAGATACTCAGGGAGGTTCCTGGAGTTCAAACAATAGGGTTGCTAGATAAAATCCAGGGTGCCAGTTAAATATGGAATTTCAGAGAGTCAATAATTTTGTAGTGGGAGGCTATCTCAAAGTTGCACAGAGCATACTTATGCTAGAAAATGATTTGTCCTGTTTGGAGTATTTGCTAAATCTGACAAGCCTATCAGAGAAGAGGAGTAGAATCCAGGAGGGTGTCCTGTGGTTGTTCCTTTTAGAATATAAATTGACCAGAGGGTCTTTAGCTGGGGTCCCTATGCGGGAGAACACACCAAAATAGAGAGAGGTAAATGAAAATACCAGAGGTGATTACATCACTCCTCAGGCTCCATGTGTCTCATCGTAAGTACTGGGCTACATCCACCTGCTTGCAGCTCTCAGGGTAGGAAAGCTCCACTCTTGGCTGCAGCTGCAGGGGGTCAGGGGCAGGAAGATGTGAGGAAGCATAAAATACCAGATTTTTGCACAGGGCAGCTGGTGATGTCACCTTGCCTCACACTAAACATGATAGATGATCTTTACAGTCATGGAAAAATTAACAAGTTAAGGACTAAACCCTGGTAGTATCTTCTAAGTAAGCCCATCAGACATTTTATGAATGTGACCTTAAGAATTCTAATACCACCTTGGGCGCCTGGGCGGCTCAGATGGTTAAGCGTCTGCCTTCGGCTCAGGTCATGATCCCAGGGTCCTGGGATCAAGACCCAAATCGGGCTCCCTGCTCAGCGGGGAGCCTGCTTCTCCCTCTGCCTCTCTCTGTCTCTTATGAATAAATAAATAAAATCTTTTTTAAAAAAAAGAATTCTAATACCACCTTGCAGTTTCTCTATGCCATAGATTTGTCCTTTTAAAAAGTCATTACTTTTCCTTTTTCCTCTCCCGGGGACGGCGTCTATAGGCATTCAGAATGGTCCAGCGTTTGACCTACCGTCGTAGGCTGTCCTATAATACAGCCTCTAACAAAACTAGGCTGTCCCGAACCTCTGGTAATAGAATCGTTTACCTTTATACCAAGAAGGTTGGGAAAGCACCAAAATCTGCATGTGACGTGTGCCCTGGCTGACTTCGAGGAGTTCATGCTGTGAGACCTAAAGTCCTTATGAGGTTGTCCAAAACGAAAAAACACGTCAGCAGGGCCTATGGTGGTTCCATGTGTGCTAAGTGTGTTCGTGACAGGATTAAGTGTGCTTTTCTTATCGAGGAGCAGAAAATCATTGTGAAAGTGTTGAAGGCCCAAGCACAGAGTCAGAAAGCTAAATAAAAAAATGAAGCTTTTTTGAGTAATAAAAAAAATCAGAAGGCTTGGAAAAAAAATAAATAAAAAAATAAAAAGTCATTACTTTATGATATAATAAGGTTCTCCATTCATTCTACCCCTCCCATTACTCCTGTGTGCCCTTCTCTCTTTCACACACACACTTTTCCTCTTCTCTCACAGGATCTCAGTACTATTATATTAATTTTCTCCTTCTACTGGTTTCCTTACATTGAATCAAATAGAATTTCCTGTAGAAAACACAGAAAATCTACTTTCTCACACACCTTACAAATTTTTGAAAGAATATGCTCATTTGTAGAAATCAGGAAATTACTTTGCTCTAATTTTAAACATTTCCCCCATGTACACAGGTCAGATTTGCATCTGTGTTCAGTAGGATGTGACGTAGATTTTTCCTTTTGCTTCTCTTCTTTGCTCATTACTCTTGGATACTCACAGCCAATTCTCTTTTTCCTAAACTTCCCTTTGCCTGAAAAAAGTTCTTCCATTTTGTCAACTGCAGTTATTAGCTGTAACTTTTCCCCCACAACAATGCACATGCTGAGTCTTTGATTTTTGTTCTAATTGTTCAAATTTTCCACAAAATATATTAAGCTTTTCTCTCCCAGCCTTGTCCATTCTCCATATTAGCAAGATGAAATCATAAACAAAAATCCACAAGTGTCTGTTACCACGTGAGAGTGTCATGAGGATGGGCTCAGCCCTAGGTGGCCCCAAGTGTCCCCTAGTGATGTGAGCAAGAATGGTGACTCGTCCTGGCAAATCAGGGCAAATTAGGAACTGAGTTAGAGAGTGACTTATAGTTCTGCTTCTCTTGCTTTATTAACTTTTTGGCTTGTGTAACTATGATAGAATCTTATATTCTCCAGCCTGTAATCTGCTTCCAGCACTCAGATATCTCTCCATCTAATAAATTCGACAAGCCTTTATATAAAACCACTGTACCCAGACTATTAAGCTAGGATTAGAGCTACTGTAGGAAAGTACAATTTAACAGTGGAGCAATTAACCTCAGGACTGTGAGAAAACAAGCACCCTTACCTCAGTTGCCTGAATATTTTAGGTAGAAGTAGAACTAGGTGCTGAAACTATAGCCACACGTCTACTTCCGAGTAGTGGATTAAACTTGCCTCATGTGGAATATACCAATCCAATTGTATGTGTTTAAGAAGAATTTTTCTTTTTACTTCCTACACTGAGCATCTAAGACCTATCAAAAGCATTAGCATGTTGTAGCTAAGACAGACAGACTTGTATCTGGTGAACAAGCAAAAACATTGTATAATAATCATCAGTGGAGACAGCCATACAGATATAGACACACACTTGGTCAGAAAGGACAGAAAATAAACCGTTTGTAGTGGTTACCCAGGAAGTAGTAGGTGAAAGACTCAGTGGGGGCAGAGAGAAATATTTTTAAATGAGCATTGCTTTTTATGATTTTAAAAGCCAATATAATGTTTGATTAAAATAATACTCTGACAGAAATCGGCAAACCATCATGATATAGAATTCTTCTTTTTTTAAGAAAAGCATTCATTTTGAAATTACAAGCTTTTCAAAGAAGCTTTATGTCACAATAACACAAATTGATAAGGAATAAGTAGGTTCATTTGCCGTACTGTGGCTCTTAAAGTTTGGTGTATGCGCTCTACTCTTTTTTTTATTAGGGGAAGCCTTAAAAGTTTATGAAGTTAAACTGATCTTTCCTTCAAGAAGCCCCCAGAGGGGCACCTGGGTGGCTCAGTTGGTTGAGCAGCTGCTTTCAGCTCGGGTCATGATCCCAGAGTCCTGGGATCGAGCCCCACGTCAGGCTCCTTGCTTGGCAGGGAACCTGCTTCTCCCTCTGCCTCTCCCCCTGCTT